CAGCAGCAGCAGCAGCAGCAGCAACAGCAGCAGCAGCAGCAGCAGCAGCAGCAGCAGCAGCAGCAGCACCAGCAGCAGCGATAGTAGCAGCAGCAGCAGCAACTCACTTCTCCTTCAATCATAGCCGTCCCCTCTAAGGGGCTATAGTGCTGCTAGTCATCAGCAGCAGCAGCAGCAGCAGCTGCTGCTGCTGCTGCTGCAACAGCAGCAGTTGTTGCTGCTGCAACAGCAGCAGCAGCAGCTGCTGCTGTGTTGTTAGTTAGTCTAGGAGAGAGAGACAGCAACAGACTGTCTCCTTTTGTGTTTTTGTTCTTTGCCTGAAGGCAAACTAAAATAAATAAATATATTTGTTGCTCTCGTTGCTGCTGCTGCTGCTGCTGTTGCTGCTGTTGCTGCTGCTGCTGCTGCTGCTGCTGCTGCTGCTGTATATGCGCGGGTCAGTGTGAGAAAGACAAAAGCTGCTACGAGCTGTACGGGTCAGTATCAACAACTAACCTAGCAGCAGCAGCAGCAGCAGCAGCAGCAGCAGCAGGTACTACTGCTGCTGCTGCTGCTGCTGCAGCAGCAGCATTTGCTGCTGCTGCTGCTGCTGCTGTTGCAGGAGCTGCTGCTGGTTAGTTTCACTGCAAAACAAAATGTCAAAATCTCATCCGGCAGCAGCAGCAGCAGCAGCTGCTGCTGCTGCTGCTGCTGCTGCTGCTGCAGCTGCTGCAGCTGCTGCAGCTGCTGCAGCTGTTGCTGCTGCTGCTGCTGCAGCTGTTGCCGCTGGTGCTGTTGCTGCTGGTGTTGCTGGTGCAACAGCTGCTGTTGCTGCAGCTGTGCTGCAGCTGCTACAGAGGCAGCAGCAGCAGGGGAAACAGCAGCAGCAGCAGGAGCAGCAAAAGCAGCAGCAGCAGCAGCAGCTGCTGCTGCTGCTGCTGCTGTCACCACAAAAGCTACTCCTATGCGATTACCATCGCGTTGCTGCTGCTGCTGCTGCTGTTTCAGCTGCTGCTGCCGCAGCAGCAACAGCAGCAGCAGAAGCAGCAGCAGCAGCAGCAGCATCAGCTGCTGCAGCAACTGCTGCAAGAAGAAGGCATCTGCTGCTGCTGCCTGTGGTGCAGCAGTTTATGCTGCTGCTTCAAATCGACAGCGACTGCTGCTGCTGCTGCAGCAGCTGCTGCTGCTGCTGCTGCTGTTGCTGCTGCTGCTGCTGCTGCTGCTGCTGCTATCGGGGGTGTAAATGCTGCAAGGGGACAAAAGGAGACAGCTGCGCTTTTGCTGCTTGTCTTTGCTTCCTGCTGCTGTGAAGCATATTCAGCTGCTGCAGGTGGTGTTGCTGCAGCGGCTCATGCTGCTGCTGCTGCTGCTGCTGCTGCTGCTGCTGGTGCGCCTGCGGGCGCCTTGCTGTTGATGCATGCTGCTGCTGCTGCTGCTNTGCTGCTGCTGCTGCTGCTGGTGCGCCTGCGGGCGCCTTGCTGTTGATGCATGCTGCTGCTGCTGCTGCTGCTGCTGCTGCTGCTGCTGCCTGCGGCGCTGCTGCCCCCCAGGCCACAGCCGCTTCAGGGCTCCTGCTGCAGCAGCCTTCCAGCTGCTGCTGCTGCTGCTGCTCTCTCTTGCTGCAGCAGCACTTGGGTGTACGAGGCTCCATTGAGATTCCCAATGCAGCCGCTGCTGCTGCTGCTGCTGCTGCTGCTGCCGCTGCTGCTGCCGCTCCTGCCGCTGCTGCTGCCGCTGCTGCTGCTGCTGCTGCTGCTGCTGCAGATCGGTAGTGCTGCTTTGCCAAGGTACGTGCTCATGCACTGTCTGCTGCTGCTGCTGCTGCTGCTGCTGCTGCTGCTCCAGTTGCTGCTGCAGCTGCTGCTCCGCAGCAGTTGCTGCAGCAACAGCAACAGCAGCTGCTGATGCTGCAGTAGCAGCAGCAGCAGCAGAATAAGGGGGGCGTTGATGCTTCTGCCGCTGCTGCTGCATTCTTGCATGTGCTGCTGCTGCTGCTGATGCTGCAGCAGCAGCAGCAGCAGCAGCAGCAACATCCTCATGAAGCAAAGGATGAGACCAAGGGTGTCCATACGCCTGCAGC